CTCGCACTCCTTTCGACTCCATAAACGCGCTTGAAACGCATGACATTCATGTGGGTATCTTATGGCACCATCCGAGAGGTCCGTGGTTGACCCATCACCAAAGATAAAAGACATTGGATCGCCATTGAGTTTTCGCATTATTTTCCTTCTGCCAGCCATTTTTAAGTCGCATTCTGCAACCAGCTATACTTTCAGATCTCATATACTTTCGCAATGAATAACAACAACAAGTCTGGCCCCGGTGGGCCAGGAAACTCAAGCAACCCCCGTCCAGGGCAATCCCCCTTTCCCAACTCCGGTCCCCTGGTCCGACAAACCCCCACAAACTCTCAGTCAAGCCAGCCATACACGAGCTCATACAGCAACAACTTCGACAGAAACAATTCCAGATACAGCACTGGCAGAACAGACGAAAGCAGGTACAGCCAGGAGAACAATGACTACACCATCCCGCCTCGATCGCCGCAGCGTCTGTCGCCTCCACGCCAGCAACCCAAACGCGAACAGGCTGGACGAGCTTGGGAGGACAGCATCTATGGCATGTACGGTGACTTGAAGACGCCGAGAGACCCACCCCGTCAGAACCAGCAGTCAAGACGGCAGTACCAGCAAGAAGACGATGACTCGTATGACGAGGAGGTGCCCCGGCGCCCTGATCCCGAGCCGGCACGGCCACGCCCGAACCGGGCCCGCACCAACCCCGAGGAGGGACCGCGACGTGCGAACACCACTCGTCAGAACCAGCAAAATGAGAGATCTGGTCGGTCAGAAAGACGAGACCGTGGAGATCAGCAAAATCGGCAAGATGGCCGGGATGCTGACGGCAACTACCGGCGTGTGCACATCAACATTGACACAGGCGGTGATGGTGGCCGCTCTTGGACATGGAGTACCGATGACCGTGATCGGGAGCGCACCAATGTCAACATTGGAACTCCTTTTGGAGGCACAGGCTTTGGTGGATCAGGGCCATCACTTGTCAACTTCGGCGACTCTGGGTTTCCATTCGGTGGTCGGAACAACGGCGGTGGCAGATTGCCTGTGAATGTGCCTTTCGTTAACGGACTCCCGGTCAATCTGCCATTTGGATTGTAGCATGTTACTTCACAGCGCATGTTGAGATGAAAAGAATATTGTATTATCACGGTTTGTCACGGGAAATGGTCTCAGAAACTGTCATCGAAATAGCGTGTCTTGACACGGACTGGAGGGTAAAAGCAAGGAGTTAGAGACATTATCTAGGGAAATTATTACATTTCTGCGTGCATTCTGCGTGCAGCTCACTTGTGTCCAGTCTATTACTCTTCTGCAGACCTTAAAAAAGGAATTTATCCCCCACAGGTCAGTCTCTTGACCGCCGTAGCTACAGCACAAACCTCGATCCCACAAAACACGGTGCGTATGTACCCGGCATTTGCTTATTCAACTCTGCCTTAGCTCTCCAGCCAGTGCAGTGCCCCGCAAGGAGCACCTTGACCCCAGATTCTTTCAGGTCAGATGCAGTCTGCTCGATGATGTCGGTTTGAGCGTCGGCAAGGTGAAAACCGCCGATCACTGCATAAAGTGGCACACCGTCACCCAGATCTATGGCGTGCTTCGCCGAATTTACCACACCTGCGTGTCCGCACCCTGTGAACATCACGATTCCCTTGTCTAACAGTATTGTCAGCGATGTCGTTTCTTAACTCGTCCACGTAGATAGAGACGAGACTTACTTTTCAGGCGGCAAATCAGAATTCTCTCATCAAGCATTTTCTCGTCCTGTTCCCACTCGCCCTTGGTTTTGTCAAACCTCATGCCAAACCTAAAGCCTGCCTCGTAGCCTGATACTCGTGGAATTTCTCCGGAGATCAGGAACGTGTTATCCATAACCGTGTGGGATTGATCATTCTTCGTCACAGTGCCCCCGTGTGCCTCAACTTCCTCAAAAGTCGGGTCGGCTTCCAGAGAAATGACAGGCATCCCGGGAACCTGCGCCCCGCGATAGTCTGGGCGACCAGGATGAAGGTCAACAGTGACTGGTAAGAGATCACCGTTCTGCTGGCGAGCCTCCGATGCCATATCAAGGACTTTGAGCATACCGCCGGAGTGATCCCTATGCCAATGGCTCAGCGTGATCAGTTCGATTTGACCAGCGTCGGCTCGGAGGCGTTTGGCGTTACGCTCCCATACATCTTCCTCCGGCCCCGTGTCGAAGAGAATCGTGCGCTTTTCCCCGTCTTTGATTCCCGTTATCATCAGCGAAAGCCCGTGAGCACTGCAGCAGATGTTGCTCATTCGCAGCTCTGGGACTGGACCCCCTTCCTCGGGAGACTCTCGGATGGCACGCATGGTAAGATCTCTGATGCCGCCGGTCTGCTCGACTAGGGGATTGGGACAAGGTGAGATCGGGTCGAGTTCATTGTCGATGATCGCCAATATTTCGAGACTGTCAAGCTCAACTAGGTCCGCCATATTTGCTGGTACGAGGTGAGGCGATGGCGCTCAGACTTGAAAGAAGGAAGGCAAGAACCAAGATGACGGATTACCACCAAGTCGGTCTGCAGACAACTGTCCTATACTTCTAGTGCTGACACAAGCGATGGATGAGACGCACTTAAGTTCTCCCGTCTCTTCAATATGCGGTTGATGTAAGGTTGATCAACTAGCATTCCGGACGAACATCTACTCCAAATTGGGCACTGAGATGACCTACAGCACCTGTCCACACACGGTTAGTCATCTCGCTACTGCTGCGCCTCTTAGTCACGACCCGAAGCTTGGCGTGATTGTCGCAGTGGGCGATTATCCAAACATTAGAACCAACAGCAGCAAACATGAGGGAAACCGCCCTTGACCCATGTATTGCTGCTGTGAGCGGTCACGCGCTCAACTTGCTTGGCCCAACACAAGCCCCTGCAAACCCCCGGTATGCCACGGTCTGTCGACCAAATCAGCTTGAGGCAATCGAAGTATTTATTACCCCAACAGGTCTCCAGGTGCTGCGGTCGAGAGCTGTTTTCCTCATCGTTCCGTGGCACACAACGCCACTGAACGCGCATCGCCAACCAACCGAATCAAGCAAAGCCGACACTCACTTTTCGGCCACAGCAACTATGCATAAGCCCACACTTGCAGCGCTCATCGGGGTAGCGCGACTCATCGACGCCCTGGAATTCATAGCGCCCGATACCGACCGCAAGCTCAACCTCTCCGCACCAATCACCATCGAATGGACGCTCAATAACGAGGGGAACGCTGAATGGACGGAAGTCGATCTCTGGTGGTACGGCCAATTTTCAAATGGCGGAGGGAATTTTGGATTTGCCATCGAAGAGAATTTCACGACTACGGGCGACGGGACATATGGCTACAACTGGAATCCGGCCTCGGAAGTGGAATCATTTACGAAGAACCAGAACACGCTCTCTTCTGACAAGGTGTTCTACTTCTTGATCAAGCGACATGCGCCCAATTCAACATCTGCTTCCACTCTTGAACCAAGCGAGAAGTACGCGGTGGAAGGATACGATTTGATCGGAAGCTCTGCAAGCCTGATGAAGCCTATGTGGGGTGTCGCGGTTGCTGGTCTTGCTGCAGCTGTTGCATTGATCTAACATTCGCCTCCTCGTTGAGAGCTCGAAATCCAGCCAAGTACGAGAGAGTCGGAGAAGGCGGACGCTGGGCAGGAATATGGAGCGGACTCGGGGCTCACAGTGTCATTCCCAATCCCCTCGATGCAGCGTCTGGCATTCCCAACTTTTGTTCGTCTCCTCCAGACTAGTTACACTACACACTTATCGTCTCATTCTCAACTTCCGTTTTCTCTTCAGAGCGAGTCGTTATTGTGTGGAACAGACCAGATATCAAGCATCGGTCAAACACTGATCTCAGAACACAATAGATCATGATTTAGAGAGTACCTATGAGAGCAAGTATCCACAACACAGGAAAGGCGTACATATCATCCCATCGTGCGGCTGCTCGGGCAAAGCGAAGGGTCAAGAAGGACCCAACTTAGTCAGAATCGGCCGGTTAGCCAAATATTGTGAAACCTGGGCTCCTCAGCATTCCATCTCCTCATGTGTACGAAGCCCTTACTGCGTGCTCCAGTCTGACATTTCGAGTTTCCTGGCTTCAAACCCTCTCATTACGGAATACTGCACATTATAGATTATTGTCGAACCAATGCATGCCCTTGTAAGCCCATATCATACTTACCTGGTATGCTCTAGGACGCAACGAAGCAAGAGAGTACGATGGTATGCCGGGGATATATGTATAATAGCTGGGCGTAATAACGGCTTAAGCTATCATAATGCCTGATTGGTCTTGCTGGCAGTTCAATAAAATTAGTCAACGTTCTTGGCCCATTGACCATGGCACCGGCTTTTACGAGTCATAAGCGCGCGGGAAATCAGCGTTGTGCAATCTTCACCGCTGTAGCGGAGTAGAACAATCCCGTCATGCCGCTCTAGTAGCTTGTTACTTTAAACGGTAAGCTGAGCGTGCACCTGGTCGTTGTTACTGAACAATCTAAGTGGCTGCAAGAAAGAACGGACTTTTACTAGAGGATGATACTAGTGCTTCTGCCTCAAAACTTGTGCTGTGCAGAACGTAACTGTCAATAGCAGCATAATCTCATTATATGAAGTTCGGTGTCACAACTTCTCAGCATGGGATTCATGGCTGTTGCCGGAAAGTTGAGGGACTCTCGTTTCCATACACGCATGGTATGGCCCAACAATACCATCCATGCAGTATTAGAATGCACGAGCCAACGACGGCGCGTGGTAATCCAGCTGGCATACAAACACTAAAGAAACCGAAACCGAGCAGCATATTTGGTGGGCGGGCCGTAGGATCCGCAGCTCAACAAATATCTTCAAAGCCTACGGAAGAGCAACTCCATTCCGGGTCCGATATCATTATGAAGCCCGATGGGCCTGGTTTAAAAGTTGTACCACATCTTCTGTGGAAGCTCTTCAGCTACCTATCTCCATCTTATCTTCATTTACAGCATGACCGAACCCCACGAACCCACGCAAAAATTGCGTGGCAACTGCCACTGTACTGCGGTTGTGTACGTCGTCTACTTTCCAGAACCCAGGAAAGCCACACAGTGCGGTTGTGACTTATGTGTCAAAAAAGCAAACATATGGTTGTCTGCCAGCCGGAGTGAGGTCACCTTTGTCAAAGGGGACGAGAGCTCTCTGACGAGCTACACCATCGGTGCTGAAGATACCATTTATAAGGTAAGAGTTTGCGATGATCCCCCGCGGCAAACACAATCTCACCTCACAGTTCTGCGGTATTTGCGCTACTTCTGTGATGGCGACCAGTTCGTCTGATACACAGATAGCCTTTAATGTAAGTAGTGGTACCTTATAATTACTAAGTGACCTCCGACATCTGACTGTATAGGCGCGGACATTCCAAGCCCTTGATGTCAAGAATTTGAAGCTGGAAGAGTACGAAAAGAGTCCCCTGAAATGAAAAGATCTCTTAGAATAACTTTTGATAGGGTTGATTATGTTGGGCACAGCTCTTCTCAACAACGCTCTATCTTGAAAACTGCCGAAACTTCTCCTCCTCTGGACAGCCCAAATGTTTATACAGGAGGCTGCCACTGCGGAGCCTTGACACTTCGCCTGCGTAGCATCCCTCTGGATAGAACCTACAAAGGACTCGTGTTAGAATGCAACTGCAGAGTTTGCGAGATGGTAAGTTTCACATCGCAAATGAACTTGTTTTGGTAGCTTGCTAACTCGATCGAAGAACGGGTATGTCTGGGTATACCCTAATGACGAAAACGTCGACTTGATAGGAGACGAAAAGGACATTGGTCGATACAAGTTCAGCCACAACATTCTCTGGAAATCATTTTGCAACACTTGCGGAGTGTTCCTCACAAACAACCACAACATCCTGTCGAAGGAAGAGCATGATGACTTGCCTGACAATGCAAAGTTTTGGCATGAAAAGTCCAAGGGGGGGACGCCAGTTAATGCTCGAGTTCTAGAAGACATCGACCTTGAACTCCTTCACCGGATGTCTGTCAAGTTTGATGGGAAGAACATCCATCAGCCCCCATATTCTCATCCGTGATATTGATCGTAAGTGCGAGCATTGCGATTATCTAGATATGAGAATAGCCTATTCCTCTCTTAACAAAGAACCAACTTTTACAGGTTCCAGTAACTCGTAATCTTCCCTTTGTGGCAAATGGTCTGGGCACCATCTCTCCATGCCATACCTCAACCAGTGGGCGTACGTTCCTTCCACCACATCGCTGCCTTCATTTTTCCTCCATAAGCTTCCCAACGTAGGACCGAGTACTTGAACAATCAAGCCGTGTGCTAGTTTAAATCCAAAGCTTCTCGTAAGACAATCTTCCACGATTTCCCGTGCCAGTTTTTGATCGTCCGACTCTGGCTCTCCAAGCCGCGCCACCTTTAGGCTCATGAGATTGAAAGCCTGGACTCCGTTCCAGTTCGTATACTCGTTGATTAACTGACTCCCAACCATGTAATCCGGCGCAAATATCTTCTCTGTGACATATGCAGGGCCGTTCCAACCTCTCTCTTCGTCGACTGTACTCATAACCATCGTAATCGCTTGTCCTTGGATGATGTAGTCTGTCAATCTTTCGCTCAAACTCGTGTCTCCCGATTTGCTGAACGATTCTCCCATCAAGGGCAGCCCTTCGAGAAGTCGATGGCTGTGCAGACCCTCCGTATTCGTTTTTTCCTCCCACAGTCTCAAGAGAAGATGATGACATGCTTGCCAGAACTTGTTTCCGGGAAGACTTCCCATGAAGTAGTTTAGGAGACTGTAGTCTCGGGGACCACCGGCATTGTAAGACAATACTTCAAACGGACTGTGTGGGTTGGCGATAGTTTCTTCCCATAACCTATCGAGGTCGCCAATCTGCATAAACCCTACGTCCGTGTAGATTCCGCCATACTTGAGCAGTAGGGGGAAGCGAACGAGATCGGAGTAGTGTTGGGTGGCAAACTCCCCGTCCAGGACACCATTGACGAAGGCCATGGGCACGTTCTTTGGATTTCTTATGTCGATCCAGTTCCCAATATATCCAGATGACTTAGGCTCTAGGTCCATAACTCGTATTGTCCAACCCTGCCTGGAGAACCGACGGTGCCAGGTGCGGACAGTACGCTTGGCGTATGGGTGTAAATTGTCGTAGCCTGAGTTCCAAAAGAACCAGAGATTTTTTGTGGATGTGACTGGCGGGGCTGACTTGATGGTCGCGTCCACTTCAGCGTCTGACCGAAGATCGAGCTGGTCCAGTGGGATTATGCGAAGGCCCTTGGGGATGGGATATGGCGGATCGCAAGTTTGATTGGTACCATTGTTGACAGTCATTATGTCGCACAATTTGAAGTATTCCCGAGAGTAGGTATATTACTCGATACTTTGACGGCGATATAATCGGTGCTAGCGTGAGTTGTCTGGCACATATAGAGATGGCACAGGAGAACCGAGAATCAGCAGAGCCAAAGTACGGGCCGTGTTTGTGACCTGTTGAGAGAATGTAAAGCAAGGTGGTTTAATTTTAATTCGAAGGCATACAGGGCTCTTATGTGTATTTGTAGGCGAAAGATGCAAGTTGTGCAGCCAGCGCGCGACCAGCACCTTGGCCAACCGAGAGGTTCCCGTGAGATCTCCTTCCGCATCTGGCTTGGCGCGCGATGAATCATCGCGCATCATGCACCGTCTCCCCACCAACAACGCATGTTGGTATCGCAAACTCCTACTTGTGGTTAGGCACTACTCAGATCACGAAGATTCTATTCGCTATCATTGAGAGACTCTAACAATCACTCTCCCTTTCTTGCCTTGTCCGCATCGTCTGGTCTGAGGGTTGGGAATGCGGCGCAGCCAACCTCACACCTTGGTTCCTTGTCATCCATCGATTCAGCCAGTCAGGCTCCACAATGTCTGAAACGAGCAAATGCACTGGACTCGCTTTCCTCCCTCTCGAGAGTGATCGCCAAGACATACACCAAACTCTTCTTTGCTCCCAATTTCCGACTGGCGCTACAGCTTCTTGGCCATCGGCTGCTTATCAACACGGTCGCGACTTCTGAATTAAGCCTAAGAAGTCCGTGTGACGCATGAAGTATCTAAGAATGCCTCTGCTTCACTCCCTGACGGCTGAACTAGCGCCGTGTTCGGTGGCATCATACAGGCGGTGACCATTATCGTTGTGAAACCCAATTAGCTCTAGAAGCCAGCATGGATTTGATTGAAAGTTGCTTTTGTATTCCGCGGGACTGCTGGATCAACCCGAAAATGAGCCGAAAATGGCAATTTTACCACGAGGAGATATCCAGCCGTCGTCGGCTTCGTCAACTTTAGATTTTGAAGCATATTAACGCCGGATAATTTACCTGATATGGCACATTTTCCCGGGACAACCTGACTGAACGTGCTTTGAACTTGCGATATAGCCGGTCAAGGCCTAAAAGTCATAGCTTAAATGGCCGTATCAAGTGCAACTACTATTTGCCCCGGTTTAGCAACTCACTCTAAACCTTGCTTGACTCGAGCTTCCTATAAACTCTTCCGAGACAACATCAATACAGCCTAGACCTCTTCGAAGGCTCACAGGACGAAGAGAGAACAGGCCCTGGAAAAGAAATAACCTTCTAGTTACGACGATGAGCCTCTTCCTTTCTGGGCGTTATATGGAGGTTGATGGGGAGTATCAACTGGATTCGTTGACTGGGTTCGCGAAGTCCCGGGTTATCTTAGCTATGGAGATGATAGTCATTAACTCTGAAGTAAGTTTGCTTCATAAACATAATCTAAACCACAAGTGTTTCAAGCATTCTTGTTCCACGCACCTCAGAAACGGGGAGGTTCGTATCCATCCCCGGTAGGTTATTTGGCCAAGTCTCCTGATATCGGGGCAGTTTCTAATTACCACCGAGGCATGGTGTAGAGACTGTGGACCTCATCCGACGCACCTGAGCCGCTACAGAATTGCTATATATTGAAGACGGTTTTCTCCTCGTTGTTCTCACTAATCCTGGTATCCCATCCGCTGACTCACACAACACATTTATTATCCTCAACTAAACACATTCTCCGTATATTCCAGAATGAGAGCCACATTGCTTGTCATCCTAACGACCTGCTTTGCCGGCGTAACAATCGCTCAGCAGACGGCATGTCAGATCGAACTCTTGAACATCAATCAAGAAGTTGTCGACAGCGTCTGCATCCCTTGCGACAGTACTCGAGCCATGAGAGACGCTACGGCCCCTCATGGAGCTGTGAACTACCAGGTACACGTTGACAGCAATTGTGGTGTCGGGCTGGATCGTGGCAATTTGGTGAACGGAGCCACTTTCCGCAGCGCTGGCCCCTGTACCCCATAGGCATTTTGAACCATATGGGATAGCGAAAGGTTGTGTATCCGAAGTGTTACGGGCGCCCGAAACTTACGAAGATCTCAACGCTAAACACATAACTTCGCCGCCAAGCTTGTTTTAGAACCATTTCTCGCCAATGTGTCGTTCGTGTCACAGTCTGCCTATTAAGTCATGAGGATGGGCACGTGGGTAATCAAGTGTCTATAGTCAACGTTCACGATCCCTAAGGTATTAAGGTTGAAAGGATCGCTTCCGTAGATAGCTTAGAAAGATATCTGACTTAGACTAGGTATGTACAGACCAAAGTTTGATCACATTAGTATTTGCGTTCTTTTCCCTGTTCTTCTTGTTTACGCGCGCAGTCTTAGCAGCCCCTGTTGTATCTTCCGGCTAAGAGGAAGACTGTCAGTTTAGGTACGGCTAGCTGAGCTCTAGCCAGCCCACGCGTTTCGTTCAACGATGGAGCAATCGAATGCTGAATGTGAGGTTGAATCATCTATCCAATTGGCGCCCCGCATCCACCGGGTAGGACTCCCGCATCAAGCGAGCTCGGCCGTGATATTTCCAGTCCCGCAAATGCGGTGCGCATTCCAGGGACTTGATGGGGTAACGTAGTACACGTGTTGCTAAATGATTGAAAACAAGCTATTGTAGAAACTTACGAATGCTAGAGTCCGCGCAACAAGGGGGGCCGATTGGTAAGAGCCCTGTCAATCGCCAGATTTATCCTCGTCAGACTCTCATTTGACCCTCAATACTCGACGAAAGTCCCTTTCTTGTACGAATCGGAGGAAAAAGCAGGGGTGGTGCGGATTCTGGTATCCATGAGTTCCAACGATACCTTCAATGGCATCAATGGGGCACGAGTCAGTCATACGGAGTTGTGTAGGTCTGGACACACGTCTTCAATTGTTCAAGTATTTATACTGAATGAAATGGAGAGCATTCTGTTCCTCAAGGCTCCATCCACACCACTCAACAACCGCTCAATCTACGTAACCACCTAACGCCGAAAAACTATCGAGGAGAAAATAAAATGACTTTTGGCGTCACCCAACCTGAATTTGGCGAAGGCTGTGCCGTCGTCTTCGGCGGCTCGGGCGGCCTCGGCCGCGCGAGCGCTGGCCTGATTGCAGAGCGCGGTTCCAACGTTGTCGTCACCTACCGGTCGCGCCGCGCCGAAGCCGAGTCCCTGGTAGAGGAGCTACGCAAGCTTGGGCGCCAGGCGAGCGCGATAGCCTGCGACGTTACCGACCTCAAGGCGGTCGAGGCTGTTTTCAAGCATGCTGTGGACACATACAAGCGCGTGCACACGGTAGTGTCCGCCGGCGGCCTAGTCTTCGATACGGGCCCGCTGGCGGAGTTCAAGGAGGAGTCCTTCCGCGGCGTCATCGAGACCGACGTCTACGGCTTCTACAACATCGCGAAGGCTGGCGTACCAGTCTTGCGAGAGGGAAAGGGTGGCTCGTTCGTCGCCCTGATCACCAGCGCGGTGAATCGCACCGTGCCGTGCGATGCGCTCTCGGCCACGCCCAAGGCGGCAGTGGCCATGATGGTGCGCCAGCTCGCGACCGAGGAAGCTGATCACGGCATCCGGGCCAATGCCGTGGGACCCGGCGTTATCAACGCCGGTATGGTGCTGCCGATGATGGAGACGCCGACGCGAGCGCTGCTGGAGGGCGCCACTGCGGTGACACCGCTTAAGCGCTGGGGAGAGGCTGCCGAAATCGCCGAGGCAGTGGCTTTCCTGGCCTCATCGAAGGCATCCTTTATCACCGGCCAGATCTTAATGGTCGACGGCGGTCTTGCTGCCTAGTTCAGACGCAACCGGCGCAAATGGTAACTTGCGCGAAGCTATTGTTACTGTGGAAGATGAGGAAATTGATAATAAGGAGTCTTGAATCTAGCAGCGGGACAAACAACCCGTCCGAGATTTAATCGCAGACGGGCTATGTAATCTTGAAATCATCTGAATAATAATGGTTTGCCCATAACCAATGCGATGAAACACAGGAAGCAAAGACTTCAGGATTGATTTGGAGGATATCCGTGGTGAACAGCTGTAGCAATTTCCCAAATGCAGACTTTGCACAGTCAAACTGTTCTCAAAGCCGCTTAACTTCATAAGAATTTCGGTCTGATTGACAGTCAAATATCTTTACATGTTTGCTCAGTACTTTTCTGTCTGCATGAGAGCTCACTCGCACAGACGTTTGCGGCAACTTGTTTAGACGCCGCACTTAACTTACAAACGACAAGCGGAGCCGACCAATCTGGTGGTCTGGTCAACTCATTACTGCATTTAAAGAGTTCTGATCTTTTTCGAATTCTTTAGTCCATCCATCTTGCAACATTGAGAACCTAGAAGCCCAAGTGCACATTGAGCCGTACATCATACTTCGTTCTCTTTTCAAACTTCATACTTCTTCATCTACTCTCAGCAATACCACGCTTGCGAAAATGACAGCAGCCATGCTCAAAGACGACGAATACTTTGACCTTGGAAAGTACCATCGTCCTATCACGACTCAGAGCTTGGTGGCTCAACGATGGTTCGATCGAGGGCTTGTCTGGGCCTATGGCTTTAACAACAACGAGGCCTCAGGATGCTTTGAGAAAGTCATTCTTGCAGATCCTGATTGTGCCATGGGCTATTGGGGCTTGGCGTACACTCGGGGACCCTATTACAACAAAGCGTGGCGGTTGTTCGACCCCAATGAGCTCAAGGTTGCACTTAACGAAACGTACAAGGCATCTCGCCAAGCTCTGGAGAGGATTGACGGAGCAAGCCCCGTTGAGCAGGCCTTGATCCGCGCGATTGCTCAGCGATACCCTCAACCTCAGCCGACAAACGAGCAAGGCTACTCCGCCTGGAACGACGCATACGCCAGCGCCATGCAATCTGTGTACGAAAACCATGGCAACGACATTGACGTAACTGTTCTCTACACTGACGCTCTCATGAACCTGACACCATGGGGAATGTGGGATCCGTACAGCGGGGAACCCGGTGCCAATGCTCGTACTCTCGACGCCATGGCAGCTCTTGAGCATGCCTTTACCCTAGAGGGTGCCGACGAGCACCCAGGGCTGCTGCATCTCCATATTCATCTCGTGGAGATGTCCAGAACACCCGAGCTTGCGGTACCTTCTGCGGACAAGCTTCGACATCTGGTCCCCGATGGCGGTCACTTCAACCACATGCCGTCTCACATTGATGTTTTGATTGGCGACTACCGGAGCGCGGTCTCCGCCAACGTGGCAGCTGTAGTTGCAGACAACAAGCTCTTCGCAAAGATTGGGAGAATGAATCTCTACACTTTTTACCTCGCTCACAACTACCACTCACTCATCTATGCTGCTATGCTCTCCGGCCAATCGAAGGTGGCTCTGGAGAACTGCGACCTGATAGAGAAGGCCCTACCTGAAGAGTTGCTGGCTATCGAGTCGCCTCCCATGGCTGACTGGCTTGAGACTTTCGTCAGTGTTCGCGCCCATGTTCTTATTCGTTTCGGTCTTTGGCATGAGATTCTGGATCTGAAAATGCCTGAAAACCAGACTTTGTACTGCGTCACAACCGCAACGCTCCACTACGCAAGGGGAGTGGCATTTGCAGCCACAGGTCGTGTACCAGAGGCCGAGAGTGAACAGAAACTCTTCGCCGAGGCCTATGCCAATGTGCCCTCATCGCGATACGACTACCCCAACCGGTGTGTCGAGACCCTTAAGGTTGGCGAGGCTATGCTTACAGGTGAATTGGAGTACCGCCGAGGAAACTTTGATCTGGCATTTGAGCACTTGCGGAAGTCGATCCAACTTGATGACAACCTCAAGTATAGTGAGCCTTGGGGGTGGATGCAGCCGACTCGACACGCCTACGCTGCCTTGTCTCTAGAACAAGGCCACGTCGAAGAGGCGGCTAAGGCGTACGCTGAGGATCTCGGCTTCCTTATCTCACTACCTCGCGGCCACCAACATCCCAACAACGTGTGGGCACTTCATGGATACCACGAATGTCTGACGCGTCTCGGTCGGAATGACGAAGCCCGGCTGCTAGAGCTTCCACTCAAGCTCGCGGTCAACTTGGCAGACGTAACGGTGCGCTCCTCTTGCTATTGTCGCAAGGTAGATGACGGTTCTAGCAATGGTTCTACTCGTGGTTGCGATAAGCTTGGAAAATGCTAGGTCGGTGATACAAGGATGGATGGAGTTCGAGTAGACTAGCATTCAACAATCTATCTCAAAAGAATACATAGGCGGTTCAACATGTCTTGGTTCAGATTTTCATTGTCATATTGTGATTCCATCGTCCGGATTGTGCATGGAGTCTGCTAGACAATCAGTTGAAAGTCAAGTTGTCCAAGTCCTCGACTCCTCCAAGATCTGCACTGCCAAAACTTGGTTGTTCTACACTTAGAAACCCTACATCAAACCACAGAGCAGGATCCAAAGAGCCTCCATTCACCTCTTTCAGCCATTCTGGCACAAACAGATTTGTGTCGATACCGGTGTCTAGATCTGTGTTCTGGTCTTCAACGTTGACGAACTTCTCGACCTGGGAAGCAAAAACGCGAGACAGTGCGATATAAAAGTGAACAGCAGATGTATCTGGAAGTTCCTGCGCCATATCTTCCAAATACCTAGGTACCGACCGTACTTTGGTCGCAGCATCAACGACATCAGCGGGGGGCAGATTTCCGCGCTTGATAGCCTGGACATCGTGATCAGCCAGAGGAACTCTTGTAGCCGGGGAGAGGTCGTTCTTTCTCCTTCTTTTCGAAATCAACTTACATGGAGGATCTCCGTCATTGCATGTGCAACCATGATAAACTGATTATTGTGCCAACCTAATCTGAGTTCACGCATCGTTGAGTCTGATAGGGCAAGCTCTAACGCGCGACGCGCGACGTCGAATGCCCTCCGAGACACCGTTAGAAACTCTGCGCATCGGACCTCTTCGTCAATGTTTTTGAGATCTCTCATTGCCTGTGCGTTTAGGACCATGATACTGTGGTCCATGTAGAAAGCCAAAATGGGCAGCGAGGTTGTGATTCGGGGGTCATTTGTTGAGCACGCCTTATTTCGAGTGCTCTCTAGGGCTTCGAAGGCTTTTGAGTGCCAGCGTAGAACAGCTTCAGGGGTTTTGATACCTCGCCCTAGCTGTTTCAAGGCTTCCAGCTAATTGCATGCTTAGTGTCACTCCTAGAATGAATGCATAGTGAAAACTTACCAACTGAACCCTTATTTCAATGAGTCCACTGATCATGCGGTCTGATGGGTTCGTCATAGGCTTCTTCCACCATTGACAAGGGCATGGTGGCAACTCGTTCCAACCGACAATGAGGGAGCGACCCGTCGCAATGCCAAAGCTCTTGTCGGCGATGAACACATACAGCCATGTTCTTTCAATATTGCGCATCATTCGTTCTTTGAACTCGTTACTGGCATCCGGGGCTAGCGCGTTGGCTTGTTCAGTCACGGCTGAAGGACGGTTGATCCCCAGCTCTTTCGCAAGCTGCGCCGCCTGGTAGTCTGTCAGTTCAAATCGACCAAGACTACAACCAGAACACGAGGTTGACGTACATGACCCAGATGAAGCCAATATGGATCGTCTGCCTGTCTTTGGTGCAATGGTGCCCAGTACTTCATGCAGATAATCGCTTGAATGATTTCGAGCGATTTCACGGATGCAGCAATGGACCACATCATGCTCGCCTCAGCTAAAGAGAGAAGCGTTGGGTACAGTATGCGATCACGAGGCCGAGTTGATATTGCGCAACCGAGAGCACAAATGACAGAAAATAGTGTGAAAGATGCATTGTAAACACTTTCAGGGGTGTGGAGGACAGGATCGAGCAGTCCTACTAGTGGGTTACGCATTTTGAAAAACCTGCATGAGAGTTTTGGTTAGTACTCGTGATAGCATTGGTAGAAGAACCACGTACAGGTCAAAATAGAGCGAGACGTCGCTTTGGTCGACAAGACGAGCGGTCACAGGATCGCATGCTGTTGACTCTAGTTTCAAGGTAGTATTGTTGGACTGAGGTGCCAACACGTGCCAATCTTTCTGATGAGTTGATCGAGGAGCTGCAGGTCGACTAGCGTCAGCAAGTTGTACAACAGTAGAAGCTGTGAGAACATCTTACTAAGATACTCCACTAGACGCTCATCCAAGCCATTTCCGTCTTTGGAACGAGATGTGTGACTCGGGCACAGTGATGTTGTCGGTAGGTCCGCGGCAATAGCCGCTGCCATGATTTGTAAAGGGGATACTACGTGACTCTCCCTCTCAAGTTTGAAGCATGGGCATGGTACTTGAGTGGTGTCTGGTATCTCAGGGCTCTCCGAGCGAGTAGTCATATTATTGGACAGTTCAAGCCCTTGATTGTGGAAATCAGGTGTATCAGTCAAGGGCGGTGACAAGTTGTCTGAGCCAGTGTTTAGAGAGCTGACAATGGCTGCGATGACTTGGTCCTTCACAGGGCTTTCCTTAATGCGAGCTAAGAGCTTCTCAAGGCTGTCCGGTTTACTGGCTGAATGTGAGCATGGCTTGTAATCGATGAGATGTAGTAAACTTACTTGGTACTGCCTTCTTTGCGGCCTCTATTAGATCGAAGAGGGTAACTGCATGTCTGTCCCTGCGAAGTACATCGCGAACTGCGGAGTAGGTCAGCACCGGTATAGGCAGACCATCAATGCGCAAGGCATCCTACCAGGGCTTCCGCCGATCACAGCGCTGTCTCGCTGCCCGACAGCTGAAGCACGCAGTGCGGTATTGGCCTGTATTATCAGCCGGCACTGATTTGCCGGACCGGTGACTGCTGGCAAGTTGCTCCATAGCACGATCTTGCGTGGAGGCATTCTTTGAACCCGAGTTTGGCAGCTGGGGTGGTTTCCTCTGTTGAGCTTCTTGCCCTGGCTGGATGTTCGTCATTGCGATTTCATGGAATGAATGGTGAAAGAGATGTTGCATGCCAAATTTTGTAAACGCCGCGGCGTTCGCAGAAGCATTGTTTGGATGGCACGAAGCACTTAGTGTCACGGGCTTTAGAATATTCCCCGCACCCGCCGCCCCCCCCCCGCCGTTCATATTAGACGCCTAAGCAGCAACTTAGTCATGCATAAGAAGCAGATGGCAGTACAATACGTAAGTGTAATTGCTTCGCTCAAGTGCTCGCATCCGTGTAGCTGAGTTGACCTAGTAGAAAGATGCCTGGGATGAGGAAGAGCAAGTCGCGCTGGGCTCATGAGCTCACGGGCCTGTCAGTGTAATCGCCAGCACTAAAACAAAAGCCCGCGAGACTGAACCCCAGTTGCTCTGGATTCAGTCTTCCACAGAGACCAACATTCACAAATAGTGCGCTAGAACCCTGCGGACGTCATCGCATCCGCGATTAGCTGCAGCAGTGTTCCGCTGGCCCCCTCAAATAAATAGGCCACGCATGCCGGCTGGGTGCGACCTCACAGTCTCATTATCAACACCACCAGGCTTTCTGCTAAAACTGTACTCCCTAATCAGTTTCCGATTATTCGAATACACACCCAGAGATCTCATGAACGAACGTAAGTCGTTTCTTCTCCTGTTCCAGAAGATTGCAGTGTAATTAACGGAACGGGTTCGATGCAATTGCTTACGTCTTGTGGAAGCATTCTTGATCAGTCATTCAACCTAATTCACATCTTCATTCTATCACTTACAGAATTTAGGCCATGTTTGCATGGATCTTCCATTAAAAGGTGGGAGGTCAACTTCAGTTGGCCTAATGATAGACAGGGATCGCTAATTGAGGGATCTTGTCCTCTATGTACAAGAATGGAGAGGGTTAAGGCCATAATGAGACCGCTTCCAGCCAAATTTCTGAATATTTTCAATATCAAAAGATATGGCCCAAAGATTCTTGGAGGCTCTCGAGAGTTTTCTTCTCTGCCCTTCTGCTCTTCAAATTGGCATTCGGTTTATCTGACTCAACTTCTGACATGCCTGACAGATTGCTGATGATTTAACTACAACGTTGTTCGACCCTGGTAGTATCAAGACGCAAGAGCTGGGTCATCAGGCTGGCGTAAGCTGCGAAATTGAAATCAGGCTGTCTCTGGGCTTGCCCAGCTGAAGTATGTCAAATGCGGCGCAGTGACAGTCAGGACCACTTCTCCTGCCTCATCATTGGACAGCACTCTAGACAGAACGATGAGAGTGGTGCTGATGGTGTGACAGTATTATTCCCGGCATATGCAGACGCAGGGTACATCAAGCGTTATCATTCGGTGCACACTTGGCCTCCCACTTTCTCTTGCAAGCCATGGACTCTGATTTGACTGTCGAGCCCCTGCTTCGCCTCGCCAAAGCAACTGGGGGGCATATCTGCAGGCCACGTCCCGACCCAGTTGAGGAGGGAGAGAATCCGATGCCTCCGTATTAAAGCGCAGTGTGGCCGGAGTCCATGCTTAGCCTGGTCCTTCCTTCAATCTTGGCTGCGTGCCTTCTCAAATAATTGATGGCAGTATTGCGCGATTTCCTTTGCCATGTCCATCTTGATGCGCGCGCTTTCTACTCGACTCTGAATTCCCCTTCTCGCTCTTCACCCGACAGTGGCAATGTCTACCCAACAGTACACGGTCGGCTGGATTTGCGCCATCAAGCCCGAGTTCGTCGCCGCACAGGAATTTCTAGACGAGGAACACGACGCCGAAGGAATCAGCGCTGCTGTACATGACAACAACAGCTACGCATTTGGTCGGATTGGGCAGCATAACGTGGTCATCGCGGTGCTTCCAGATGGTGAATATGGCACCAGTTCGGCAGCGACGGTTGCCAGGGATATGGTTCATTCATTCCCCAACATCAGGATTGGCCTGATGGTCGGCATCGGCGGCGGCGCCCCGAGCTCGAAGAACGACGTACGCCTCGGTGATATTGTCGTCAGCGCCCCTCGCGGCGGTAATAGCGGTGTATTTGAATATGACTTTGGCAAGACGATTCAAGAGCAAGCCTTCCAGCATACGAGACATCTGGACCAGCCTCCCAACGTCGTCCGGACTGCGGTCACCAACCTGCAGGCGCAGTACGAACGCAAAGGCCACAATATTCAAGATGCAGTCACAGACATCACGGGGAAGAACAAGAGACTCCGGAAGTATAGACGGCCAGACCCAAGCACCGATGTTCTCTATCAGTCGAAATACCTTCACAATAGCGGTGCTGGGGACTGCACGGCGGGCTGCGGTACAGATTCGGATAACATCGTTCTCCGGAAAGAGAGAGACGAAGATGAGGGCGATGACGACCCGGCTGTTCATTACGGTCTTATCGCGTCTGCTAATCAGCTCATGAAAGATGCCACGGTTCGAGACCGTCTCGCAGCGGAGAAGGGCGTGCTTTGCTTCGAGATGGAAGCCGCAGGCCTTATGAACCATTTCCCTTGTTTGGTAGTCAGGGGTATCTGCGACTACTCGGATACCCACAAGAACGACAACTGGCATGGATACGCCGCAATGACTGCGGCTGCCTATGCCAAGGACCTTTTAGGAAAGATCTTGCCGAGCAAGGTTGAAGCAGAGAAGAGGTTAGCCGATGCCGTTGAGTCAGGTTAGTGGAAATTCGAGACCCGGCAGGTGAAGTCTCGCTGAGTTAAACCTAGTAAAGCAAGAAATGCATGACTTCCAAGAGACAATGTTCAGTAATCGGGAAGACGATGAGGTGATGTCGTGGCTGAGAGCGCCGGACCAGTCAAGCAACCACAAATTGGCAATGCAAAGTCACCACGAGGGAACGGGGTCCTGGCTTCTAGAGGATCCGGTATATCGGGGCTGGAAAGCAACTCGGAGTTCATTTCTCTGGGTATCTGGAATCCCGGGCTGCGGAAAAACAGTTCTGAGCTCGACTTTGATTGAAGACGTTCGGTCTACTTATTCATCGGCTTGCCTTGCTTATTTCTACTTTGATTTCAACGACAGTTCAAAACAGACTCTCGACAGCTTGCTCCGTTCTCTGATCCAACAGTGTTCTCAGAAGAACGAGGCATCAAAGGCCTGTATACATGACCTCTGGAAGTCGCGTCCTGCGCGAAGAGATGAGCAGCCGACAGCCCAGCAGCTTTATGACTGTCTCGTCAAAATCTTGAATCAGTCAGACGAGACTTGGGTTATCATTGACGCCCTTGATGAATGTACGACCAGAGACGGATCCTATGTAGACGGTATTCTCTCTTTCATCAAACAACTGAAGCAGGATACAGTAGGGTCTACTCATATTCTCGTTACAAGCCGATCAGTGGAAGATATCGAAAGGTCTTTTACCGAGTGGGCACAGAATGAGTGTTTTATTTCACTTCAGCACAGTCTTATTCAAGATGATATCCAGGCCTATATTCGCCATGAACTTCGACCGGGTGGAAGGTTCGACAGGTGGCAAGGGACCCCAAGGTTGGAACAGATCGAGTCGACACTCATGGCTAAAGTTGATGGAATGTAAGTAGACCAGCAGCCGCACGAAAGAGCAGCGCTGATTTGATCTAGGTTTCGATGGGCAGCCTGCCAACTCGGTTCGTTAGCTAGGTGCATTGATCATCGTACTCTTCTCAAGGAGCTGTCATCTCTCCCCAGGGATCTCGATGAAACCTATCATCGAATGATCCGGGACATACCAGAGGAGAACAAATCCAATGCTACCACCGTCCTCCGCTTCCTTGCTTTCTCGAACAGACCATTTACAGTTGAAGAGCTCGCTGACGCTCTCGCGGTGAACTTGAACGAGTCTCCCAAGTTTGACCCGGCCTTCAGGATGCCCAGACCTACTGAGATCTGTCTGTATTGCCCAAGTATGCTGCTTTTGGCGCGGACGCGTAAGCGCGCAAGGGACCAGCTCGATGGATATAAAGAAGTGCTAGAAGTGAGACTCGCCCACTTCTCAGTAAAAGAATATTTGACCTCGGACCGGCTCCATGCAGAGCTGCGGCCACTGATTGAGCCGTCTATTTCCCAGGCGTTTCTTGCTGACATCTGCGTGGCATATCTTTCAGAAATCAAGGATGCAATGACAAAACAGCAGATCGAAGAAGAGTTTCCGTTTGCCAGCTACAGCGCACAATCATGGCTGGACCACGCAGCTGCATCTAGGTCATTAGGCCAGGTGGCTGAAAATGGTGGCCTGATTCTCGAATTTTTGTCATCGGATGACGTGGCCTATGAGAATTGGTTTATCATGTTTGATCCAGAGGCCTCATTCAAGATCACGAAACCCGCCTCGGGTCTGTACTACGCCTGCTTGTATGGCCTCGTCTCGGAAGTCGAGAGCCTGCTTTTGCAGCGTGTTGGTGTCAATGAACAGGGCGGAAGACAAGGCTACCCGATTGTGGCAGCTGCAGACAAAGGCCACACCAAGATTGTGAAGCTCCTGATCGCAAATGGAGCAGATGTAAACCTGAAAGACCCTTTCGATCGGACAGCTCTACACATGGCCGCCAGCGGAGGCTACGTCGAGATTGTCCAGCTTTTGTTGGACGCCAATGCGGAAGTTAACGCAATGACTGCCGAGTACGAGACCAGCCTCGGTTGGGCCTGCAGCAGTGGGCATCTGAAGGTCGTTCGGTTGTTGCTCGATTGGGGAGCAGTCATGAACCCTCCAGGCGGAATGTCAGTCAACGTGCTCCAGCTGGCTTGCTCATACGGCCACGTGGAGATTGTTCGCCTTCTTCTCAACAAGGGCGCTGACGTACACGGACTGGGTGAAAACTCTGAATCACCGCTCGAGTCTGCTGCCTCGTATGGTGATGTGAGGATTGTCTCTCTTCTACTGCAGCACGGAGCAAGTCTGACGCTGCTGCCAAATCAGATCGGGGATGCCCTGCAATCTGCTGCGGCCCGTGGTGACGAACGTACCATGCGGATCCTTCTTGACGCCGGTATGCCCGTTGGCAGAAGCATGGAGCGAGATGTTTGTGCGTCATTAGCTGGCGAGGAGCAAGATGGGCATGCAATGTCGGCTCTTTGGGCAGCAGCCAAGAGCCGCCATGTCGGCGCCGTCAGGATGCTTTTGGATGCAGGCGTGGGACCAAATAATGCTTGGGCCAAGAACAATGGCATTCTCCAGCGTTTCTACAACCCCCATGGCCAGCAAGAAGTAGAGATCATGAAGTTGCTGCTCGATCACGGGTTTGATGTCAACGACTCTGAGAGCGCGGACGAGTCGGCGCTGGAAAGCGCGGTTCGAGCTGGCCGCGAGGATATCGTACGTCTCCTGATTGACAGAGGCGCCAACGTCAATTCACATGAAACAAGGCCTGGAAACAGTGGCAGCGGTCCCCTTTTCAGTGGTTGTCGACATGGCAAAGAAAACCTTGTGCGCATACTGCTCGAAACTGGCGCAGATGTTAATTCTGTAAGATCAAATGACACGGCTCTACAGGTGGCTGTCTACGAGGGGCATAGAAATATTGTGCGGCTGTTGCTTGAACGGGGCGCCGATACGGGGAGAGTGGCTAAGCGCCATTATCCCATCGGTCATAGATTCGACGACCCCCTGCTTCGAGCTTATAAGATGCGTGACTGGGAGTCAGTGCAGATGCTTCTCGACTACGGAGCGAGTCTCCATACCGTCGCTGGAGAATCTTGCAATAAGCATAGCTTCTTGGAGATTGTTTGCCTGGACAATAACATGCACGCCGTCAAGATGCTGCTTAATCGAGGTGTAGACGTCAGTCTTGGTCTACCGGTAGCGTGTTACCAAGGGCACGTCTCCCTTGTAGAGGCAATGCTTGACGGCGGCAGCGATATTAGCATACACAACGCCAGGTACGGAGACCCTTTGGGGGCTGCGTCATACGGAGAGCATGTTGAAGTTGTACGCCTCCTTATCGACAGAAGAGTCCCAGTCGACGCATCATCTTCGATCTACGGCAGTGCCCTCATAGCAGCATCGAGTAAGGGCCATGAGAAGGTCATCAACGCTTTGCTTGATGAGGGCGCCAACCCAAACAACAACATTGGAAGCCACGAAGGTCCAAAGAAGTCAGAGGTGCCCCAAAATTTTGCAAAGCTATGGTCTCCCGCCGACGAAAATGGCAACAATCCCGCTATGTACGGAAACGCGCTTCAAGCAGCTTGTCACGAAGGCCGCGAGGACACGGCGTGGTTACTCATCAACCGCGGCGCAGACGTAAACGCACCAGGTGGCTGTTACGGTAGTGCGCTGGCAGCTACTTCCTACGGTGGCAAAGCTAGCATAGTGCAGCTACTCCTGGAAAGCGGAGCAAGTGCCAATTCTCCCGGCGGCATTCATGGGAATGCTCTTCTGAGCGCTTGTCGTAGAGGCCGCGAGGATATCGTTCGTATTCTGATCAACAACGGAGCCAGTGAAGACTTGGATACAAGCTTATCCACAGCAGTTCGCGAGGGGCACACGCATACTGTCTTGACTATACTTGAACTCTGTGGGAGCCATGTATCATTTGACAGCGGTTCCCTCGCAGATGCTATAAATACAGATGAAGATTACCTCATTGGGGTTATCCTCGACATGATCGGGACCTTCACTGATGAGACCGGCATATGTCCACTTCACGCTGCCGCCGCTGCTGGGAGACGAGGCCTTGTGGAAAACCTACAGGATCGAGGAGCAAGCCTGACAGCTGAGGGGCTTAATTTCAATGAAGCACTCGTAAATGCTTCCGCACAGGGGAACATCGAAGTGGTAAACTTCTTGCTTGAGTTAGGTGCTAACCCTAATCAACATTATGATATTACGTCGGAAGGGAAGAGGTGGATTTATAGCAGTGCGCTTCACGCAGCATCGCAGGCTGGGCATTTGGAGATCACCCAATTGCTCCTTCAAAGTGGTGCGGATGCCACTTCGCCAGGCGGAAAGTACCGGTATTTAACACGCGCTGTCATTGTCAGCCATGATATGGACCGTTTTGAGATGCGTAACAAATACGGACAAGATCTTGAACAGGATGTTGTTGAGAGATTTGAGGCTATCGTCAAAATGCTGTTTGTTCATGGGGTCGACGCGCGTTGGGTACAACAGGACTACAATGAATGTCTGCATCAGAGTGCCTGCGTTGGATTTGAAACCATTGTCGAGATTCTCATAGAGAAAGGGGCAGACATCAACTTCTACTTCGAAAAGTCCAACACGGACGTTCTAGAAGCGGCGCTATGGTGTGGATATCCACATATTGCTTGGGTTCTGGTGGACCAAGGTTGCCACATACCCGACTCACACTGGGAGCGCCTCTACGGAACCCAGAGAAAGACACTGCTGCATTTTGCGGCTGAGTATGGGCGTAAAGATATTGTTCAAGGACATGTTTCCAAAAAGCTTGATGTTAACATACGAGACGATCGTGGCCAAACCCCACTCCACCTTGCGGTTATAAACGGGCATCATGAGATCACGAGTACTCTGTTGGAAAACGGTGCGGAGCCGTCTACACGGCACAAAGATCTTTCTGGGCAAACGCCTCTGACATACGCCAGAGGGACAGACCTGGGAGACGGCCGTGGGCCGGTCGGCCCACATGCTTTGTGTGTCGAGGTATTAACGCAATGGAGACCAGCAAGACTCCGGGTAAATGGGCGGATAAACCCGCTATGAGTGCTTCTCTCTTGTATCGCAAGATATTTAATCATCTGACCCTATGGGTCTCTAAATGTATTGACGATATTACTTGTGAAATCTCTTAGGCCAACTTTTGATTTCGAGACCTATTACTAAGTATGTTAAAAATTACGTATATCAAGTATCCTTTCCATTCCCTTGAAAACCTCCGTGTCTTCTTAACCACCTGCGACTCTGCGAGACCGTGTTTTCCTCGGGTTTGAAATTGGGACTGTCAATATATCAAGATCTCAGTTGTCCAATTGCGAGGGGATCGTAGCATTCCCAAAGGCGCTTCTGCCGTTCCCGTTTGTGTTGAAGAAAATTTCGATCGGCCCAGATCCCTTCAAGGGAACGCCGAGAACCTCCTGCTGGATCTCAAAAGCTGCAAGACTGTAAGCCACGTCAAGTTTCTGGCTTAGGGTATACGTACTGTGGACACCAACGCTGTCGATCCAAGTGTTGTTCAAGGTAGGGTCTTCGGCAGTGTAGACAGTGTATCCCACAGCCGGGTCATACAACCATCTTGCATAGCTTTCCTCATTCGGTGTGCTTGAGTGAATAGCATGAAGTTCTCCCAGTCTGTGGCCTTGAGCCCCGCCAGAGAGGTTGATCTGGACATGCCAGGATCCGTATTCTTCGCAAGCGGCGATCCCGGCATGAAAGCCGACAGCGAGGAGGGAGAGAAGGTGCTTGGTGGAAAACATCTTTGGGTATCAGAGATGAGATGGATTGTCGGGATTCGATCGAAGGCAAGTCGAGAGCTGAGTCGGAAGTCTGATTTTAAACAACAATTTCACAGACAACGTAGAGCTGGGGAGAGAGGTTTTTATGAATGATCATGATGCCTGCAATCCTGCACTCACGCACCAGCGCGACGTTACATTCGTATTTTCAGCTTTAGGGTCAGAGGGCGTCTTACACTGGCGTCAATGATGGAGTAAACGCCATGCCATCGTAGCGGACCATATGTTTGCGTTTCACAGAGCTTGTGTGGTGCAACATGGTCAAATCAGAAGGCATACCCGTGTGGCGGGCCGATCGTTCCGTCCTGCAAAACAAAGACATGCAGCTCTACTTCCAAAAGTAGTGTCTTTTTGCAAGTAAGACTTTATTTCTTACCTACCATTCGTATTCTTCCCCGGCGGTGTGCAGTAAGCCCCAATTACTTGGCAGTGGAATGCCATTACGGCGCAGGCCTCCATACGAATCCTTCATCGTATTCCTTTCTAGGCCGCAACTGTGCCTCATAGTAGCACCGGTGAACTACCGGAAATGTGACCAATTGAATTTGTTGACATTGGATTTGGACATGAAAAGCAGTCGACCAATGATCTTTGCACGGCCGAGCGTCAATGTTGAAAAGGATGGAGGAGGATTATTGCTGACCAGCTTCTGATGTTCTGACCTGAGTAACTCGTATCTTGCTTCATAGCCCATCTCTCCCTCGCGAGAATTTGCATGTAATAGTAGAAGCTATATCGTGTGAGTGCTCACCACTGCTCTGAGTCGGCCACATTCTACCATCTCTGCTGTTCGCAGTGTCACACACTTTTCTTCAGTCGTCAAAATAGCAGTTCGTGCAGTCCAGCGGCTGTTAATTTCTCATGGAATGTTAGAATGAGAGTGACCCAGTTTCTGACTCTTGAGAACTGCCATTCTTAGCCCGAGATAAAGTACTCCATAGTCCAGCTGTATGTATATTTGATATCTTTTGATAATCATCTGTTTGTAGCCTGTCAAATATAGACATGAAGAAAATAGTCAAAACTCACTGGAGGTTAAGATAGACTTGGAATTTGGCCGAAAAACGGCACCTGCTGCTAACATAAGCCGACCTAGTGTTTGGCATTTTGAATCGTATCATGTAGAATTGAGGGGCAAGCATGTAAGCCCAACAGTTTACATATTTGTATTAAACCTCTTCCGAAATTGTAGTGCGCATCATTCGCTCCGGAACCAACATATCCCGTCACCGTATCCTCCTTTCCCAACCAAACTTGACTACACAGTGCGGCGAAACTATGCTGTGTCGCTGTAAGAGTTTGAGTCTGAATAACCAAAATGAAGTAGAAGAAACAGCGCTCTGGCACTCATGTTGGAGGAACATGATAAAAAGGGGTCATCATGCTTTGGCCTCCAAAGTGGTCGGCACCCTGCCGTTCAAGCATGCATGTGAACCCGTGGATAATTAGATAGAAGGGTTTATCAGAAGATATAAACTTCACAATGGTTCAAACATGACAAGTGACGAGTGACATACAAGTCACCGGCGACTTGCTGCCCGATTTTGCTGCTTCAGTCCTTTCAACTGCCCTGATTGTGTCAATTACATTATCCAGTAAGGCCACCAGGTTCAGCAGCATGCCAAGCATCAATGACCCGAGACGCTCGGGATGCTCGACTCCCGGATGTCGTGATTTTCTTTTTCTAACAATAAAAACACACTTTCGTCAGGAGCGGTGAGGTGTGCTTGTCAAAGTGACAGCTCCGACTTCACGTTGCAGCGAAGCCACGTTGCGCAGTTCACTAATCCAGCCGAAGGGTTACACCGAGCCTCCCAACTGCCGACCGAAACGCCAGCGACTTGGGCTCTCTCGACCTCAACCTCTGACAACACAAAAAAAGAAACTTTGATCGCAAATCACAAATAAGGAAACGCACTGCCGATAAACATGCCATTATTCCGACTCGCATAACAGTGCACGAACCAAAAGAAGAAACAAAAATGCTCCTTGCCGTGCCCTTTTCCAAGAGCCCCTGCAGCGTCGTGTCGGCGCCTGACGAGCGTTTGATGCGGCCGGGGGTCGGTTTTTTCAGGGTCAGTCACCGACGACACCCCCGATACGGAGGCTCAGCTCAGCGCGCGTGTTCTGTTTTGCGACAGCGACAACGCCCCCCCAGCGCCGCAATGCTACCGGAAACATCACCTTGTTGAGCAACCTGTCTTCCGACGAACCCACCGTCCCGCGGCGAATGTTTCCCTATATGAGGTCTCGGATAACACGCATGGGTGAACGGAGACCCTAGAGCAGGCAGGCGGTGTCCGGAGCTGGCTCCTGAGTTGAGTTTGCTGGGACTTGTTTCCTCTGCCCCTGCGGTCTAACACAACACCCCCTTCCATCACTTGGGAGAGTTTCCTTGGCAGTTGACGTTTTCTTCATTTACTGCGACATCACCGGGGAATTTTTCTCCTCTTGACCGCCATGTGCACTCCCAAAGTCTGATCAAGCGAGAGGGAGTTTTCCTTGGTATTTTTTCTCCTTTGTTGTTATCCCCCCCTGGCTGTGAGAAAACTCTCCCAAGTACCGGCAGGTGAGAGCAGAATTTTGAGGAGGATTTAATATGAAGAGGAAATCTGTTGCGGGCTCCTTTTCAGCGGGCGAGCGGGATCTAGTATGGTTGGCACGGACGCCGTTGAAGATTCAAACGGCGGCATAGCCGTTGACCTTTGCCGACAGAGCGGATTGCGGATTCCCAGCACTGCACTAGCTCTAGGTCCCGCTGCAGGGCAACAAAATGAGCAGCATCGGGAGCGAGGGGAGCCTGCAGAGGACACATGAAAAGCTGGCGTCATCGTCGATGACCGGTCTCGATGGGCGGGTTCTTCCCAGCGAGTCAAGCCCGCGCCGCAGAGGTCGCCGCAGAACGGGACAGTCGAGAGACGTAGAATCCGACTCTTCTGTGTGAAGTCCGATAGTAACTTGACCCACGATCTCGCAGGGAAAAGACGTCAATAGCAAAGGGGAGACTTTCGGTTGTGGTAGGCTGTGCCTCACGCTAGGTAGCAATGCTTACTCGTCATCACGGAGGTTACCCGGCAAAGCATTTTTGCTCCTTTTATGCCATGTGCGTTGTGTGCGTGTGTCCGTACGTGTTCGGCGCATTTGATCGAAATCCCGATTCCGATGGGAAAGGCAATGGGAAGCGTGAGATCGCATTTTGCTGCGCATCGGCCAGACATCGCAAGTGCCCCATGTAGGGGGGAGAGATACTCCATCAAGCCTTCTCGCTTGTGGAGCGACGTCGGACGCAATCATGGGATGTTGTGGACGAAAGCCAACCCCTCAACCAACGGAAGACGTTCGTGATGCGTTGCGTGGATATAAAAATCGAGTGCGATATGTGTGTGTAAGACCCAGGTTGCAATGGGAATTCCGAAGTCCACCGGAGGACAAAAACCCCAGCTCTTCTCCGCCCCTCAAAGCCCCCAGTTTAGGTACCCCGTAGGGAACTCTGGGGGGTCAGCGGCGTCAATAAATAGTGGACGAGTCAGGCGGTTGCATTATGCGGCGCCCAATCCAGTTTTTCTCGTATGATGTCGAATATTTGCTGAATAGAGAGCGATTGTTGGTGTTGAATCGGCACCAAAGCACTCGCTTTGCAATCACATCTTTGCACGCTGCTGCGCGGCGAATAGGCAACAGCCATGACGGCGTTTGACAAGTCCGCTTTCGCAGAGTTTGGAGTCAATCGTAAGTGAGTAGCGGCAGTGGAGGGCAAGAAGATTCTTTTCCTTTACAGCGCAAACGAGCACGCTTGCTTGTCCCTTCCGACCCAGATACTTCAAAATCAATGATAACCACCCATCCTCCGTGTCTTCCTTGGACTGACCAAACATTAATGTGGCCGCTCAAACATTGAACCGTTTCCCAGATAGACCGTTTCTCAACTCATGAAACTCCGCCACGTTCATTGAACCAAAATCCTCAGTGTCCTGTTCCGTTCTTCCTTAATATCAAATTCACAGGCGGCCCAGGTGCCACTGTGTAACCATCGCTTTTACGCCTTCAGTGCTTCATCTCCAAGTCACCTGTAGTAAACCTCTCAAACTTGACTCTGGCGGGATCGACTCCCCGATCAAGCAAATACTGAGACATCTCAACCATGAAAATCTCGGGCCCGCAGATGTAGTACTCAGCACCACCGTGTCCGAGGTAGAGCTCTGCAGGATCTATCCGAGCAAGATCCATGCGAAGGCCAAAGTCGCTTGACGA